CAACTCACTTTTAATAAGTAGACATTTAAAGAATGTGCTTTATTTTTGTTGAGAACTGGCGAACGATTGACTCTGGAAAAGATTTTTTGGAAAATTAAGATATTTCCTACTCTCTAAAAGAAATTTCTACCGAAATTCAAAAACGCAGGGGAAACCTTCGTAGAAGCCTGGCACGCAGTATTGATCGCGTGCCTTAACTCATGAAGGTAGCGGTCTCAGTTCCGGTGGTCGCCGTCCACGAAATGACAATCATCGTTTTCATGGTCCGATTAACCCTTTCCACCGCATCACTCTGTTGATGGTAAAGGGGGCAGAAAACATGCTCGACGCCATACTCCCGGAGCATATCCTGAAACACCTTACTTTCATAAGCTTTCGTGTTATCACTAACCAGGTATTCCAGCGTTTCCCATCGAAAAAGGATCAACTCCTTGAAAGCGCGCGCGAGTGATTTTCCGTCCGCGGAGCTCAATGGCTTGATCTCCACCCATTTTGTAAAAAGGTTCTGAAACACTACCATGTATCTGAATCGATTCTTGCTTCGCGGTAGCTCCACTACGTCCGTTGCTACTATTATCCAAGCCACTCTACTACGCGTCTTCCCATCAACTCTTTCGGTACTTTCTGTTCAATTTTATATCTCTGGCAGACCTGACATGGATTAACAGAGCTCTGCACGTCATATCGTACTCCCAGCCAATAATACTCTCTCACTACCCGATCGCACGTCTTGTTCTAACCAAAATGTCCAGCCGACGACGCACAATGGGCATCCTGCAGAACCCTCTCTCTATACTCAACCGGAAAAACCAACCGCCAACTTTCCTCGCGATTCGTAACTGCATTGAGCAGATGATCGGTCATATATTGATATAACAAATTACTCTCTACTTTCCAATTGGGATATTTTTTCGGCTAGTCTCGGGCTTCTTGGCGCCTTTGCAGATACCAGGGGTCCTTAATCGTATCAAATTCTCCGACCTCCACCTCGTCCTCAAACTCGCGCGAGAGTGCATCCGGGACATGGTGCAGAGCACCTTTCTTATGCACGATCTCGCAGTCAAGCTGTTGGAAATCCAGCACCCATCGCTCGAGTCGTCCTGTTAAGTCCCTCTTATTCAGCAATCTCGTCAGTGCGCTATGGTCGGTCACTATTACGTAGTGGAATCCTTCTATATATGGCCTAAATTTTTGAACCGCGAATCGAACCTCCAAGAACTCAATTTGGCTCACCGTATATCATCTCTCATGCGCGTTCAACATACGACTCGCATAGCAAATTGGATGCTCCCCGTCCTCGAATATCTATACTAAGCATGTTCCCACCGCATACGATGAACCGTCGCAATGTAAATAGAACGTCCGTACGAAGTCCGGCCTCGCGAGCACTGGGGCTTCCGTGAGCCCTCTTTTTAATTGTTCAAAGGCCCCCTGCTGCTCTAGCCCCCAAGCACATGGTTGGTCCTTCCTTAATAATTTTGTGAGCGGTACCTTGATATCGCTCTCATTTTCAATAAACCTCGCATACCATCCCACCATACCCAAAAATCTCCGAAGTTGCTCTATATTTCGAGGCGCTGGGTAGTCCATAATTGGTTGCATTCGGTTCGGGTCTGGGCGCAGACCTTCGCTGTCCAATTTGTAACCGAGATACGTTACTTCCGTGTAAAAAAAGTCTAATTTCCCCTAGTTTATCTCTAGGCCCAGCTCAACCAGCCGCCCTAACACTCTCCTAACCACTGCATATTGTCTTCGAAATTCGTGCTTACTACTAACAAATCGTTCATGTACCAAAATACATTCTGTGCGAACTCCGGTCCAAAAAGCGCGTCCATGAAGTGCATGAATGTCGTGGGCGAGTTTACTAGGCAGAATGGCATTCTCTCGAACTCCCACCCCGGAACCGCAAACGCAGTTTACTGCTTGCTTCCTTCGTCTAAGGGATTCTATCAGAACGCCGGCTTAAGGTCAATTTTTGATAAGAATACCGCGCTATGCAATCGATTCAATATGGAATCCAGGCTAGGCATCGGGTATGCATCGTGCTTGTCACTTTGTTTACCGGTATAAAGTCTAAACAGAACCGATACGTCCCGTCTGTCTTTTTCACCATTACCGGCACGCTACTCCATTAACTATCTAATGGCCTAACTATACCCGCGTGCCACATCCTCGTCGTTTCTTCTTGCACGAATCTCAGGATCGGCGGTGACATCCTTTGCGTAGGTGTTTTAATTGGTCTCGCATTCCCGACGTCTATTATATGCTTAATTAACTTCGTCACGGCCGAGGCGGCTCCAGGTTCGGGCACTATGCTATGCACCAGTGCCATCACCTGCTCCCGCTGAGTATCCCTATATGTTGCCAGTCCCACACACTTGGCAAACACCCGTGTCGACCTATCCGCGTCACTCGCGAAGAAAATTCATTCTCGTGAGCCCCTGGGTCACCATTCCCGCCTCTCGATGCTGATATCCTACATCCACTCGTTCCAGAAATCTGCACCGAGGATCAAGTCATGAGCGCACCGCGCCAGTGCACATGCAGTCAACGTCTCGCTCTTCCCTCCTACTTCTATATTCAGTTTTAGGTCGCCCAAAGGATTCGGTTCATCGCCCGAGACTCCTCTTACAAATATTGTCGGCGACCTCAAGTGCGACGCAAACCTACTCGCCAAATCCGGGCCCATGACTGTAACCTGCGCACCCGAATCTAATAACGCCCGGTAGTCCTTTTCGTTTATTTTAATTGCCAGGAAAACCCTATTCTCTACTACTGCCACTTAGGCTGCGCTACTGTCCTCGCTCTGGTTCATGGGCTCACCACCTGAGCTTGCCTCGCCCCTCCCCCTCGTTAAAACGGAAGGATTTTCTACTACCTTTGCGCGACCCATCGAGTGATCCATCCCCGACTCCCCCGGCCTACTCTGAATCCTTTGCTCTCGGTAATTCGAGAGCAGCCGAGAGCTTCGTGGCAATTCCTTGGCCTTGCGTTTGACCTGCGTTCGATCGGTTCGTTCGCTTTCTATATGCACCTCTGAGAGCAACGGGGAGCTCCGTGGCGGCTCTTTGGCCACGGGCACAACCCGCGCTCGATCAGGTCATTCATCTAGCACTTCGGACTTTCCATTATTAACCACGTCTTCATCTTCTTTGCACCTGGGCTCCTGTACTTCATGCTTCTCTATTCCTGCTAAGGCCCTAAAAAATTCACCGTTATCAACATCCCCCCTTTCCAATTGTTCATAGCGACGCGACAATTTATCCTAAAACTCTACTGCTCTCTCATCAGGTACTCCCGAATGCGCGCCTCCGGTTACGTGCGCTTGTCCACTCCTACTATTTTCGCTATTCGCGTTACGTGGCTCGGCTGCGAGTATCAACGCAGCTTTGCCCGGCCCGACCTTTTTTCCATTGTTTCCTTCTCCAGATCTGGCCAACATCGTGCAAGCCACCCTTTTCCCGTGCAATTCAAGAGCCAACAATGCTCGCCAACGTAAACTCAGACACATATTGCAATTTTATTAGATTTTTCTTAATATCCGAATCACCAAGATATCGATGTGGCAGAGGCGAAGGGAATGGCACGCGAAACAGAGAGAGAAAAGCAAACAGGGCGAGCAATCTCAACTATTGCCTGACCCATCACAAATGGAAACCTTTATTTTTTATCCCGGATTCGGATAGAGTGGGAAAATTTACGTTCAAATCGTGTAATATATGTGGGGTGCATATGACCCGCACCCCACCCCCACAGTCATTTCAAGATCAATCTCACTTTTTAAATGGGACCCCTCATTTTTCGTCGCAGGTTAGAATCCTACGTGAAATTGTACGTTCTGATGATGAGATGTATATAGGGTCTTACAAACCCCCTACCCCACCTTCAAAGTCATTTCAAGGTTAACCTTATTTTTAATGGTAACCCTTATTTTCCGTCGCCGGTTTGAATGCATGACTTTGGGGGGGGGGGGGGGAGTCATTCAAACCCCATAAATATCCCGTCATCTGAACGTACAATTTCACGTAGAATTTAAACCTGCGACGAAAAATGAGGGGTCCCATTTAAAAAGTAAGACCTCGAAATTACTTTAGGTTATGAACGTAAAATTTCCCGCTCTATCCGAATTCGGGATAAAAAATTGGGATTTTCATTTATAAAAACAAAGTTGACCTTCAAATAACCTTGAAAATCATTGTCAAGTTGAACACTGATCTGACAAGTAGAGAAGTAGACTCCACTGGCCTAAACAACTTTTGTATGAACAATTTTTTCGTACAACGTGAACTTTTCAAGATATTCAGGTCCGTCATTTAAAATGGGTCACCTTGTATAATAATATTTATTATTATACTATTTATTAACCCTTTGTTGCACATATTTTTCTGTTCAGTGGTTTTACTTGAAAATTCCTACTCGGGGGTTTTTGGGGTCGCTGATCACGAATCTGAAGTCATAATTTCGAAATTTTTAATTCAAGATGGCGAATTCAAAATGGCGTTACCAAAATTTCCAAAAAATAGATGTATCTACTTAAAAATCGTTACTAAGGGATTTTCGGGGTCGCTGATCACGAATATGAAGTCGGAATGCAGAAATTATTGATTCAAAATGACGGATTCAAGATGGCGGCTCGGGAATTTTTGATAAATTAGATGTACAAGCATAAAAATCACTACCCAAGGATTTTTGCGGTTGCTGATTACGAATCTGTTAATTTTTTTTATAGTTCATCATTGTAGATCTAATATGACGAATACTACGACATAAACAGTGGTTAAAATATTGGGGACTTTCGAAAATTTACTCTTTTTTTGCGTAACCCAGAGCTAACGACGAGGACGTAAAAGAGTACTAGCTCCATTTTTTTTTGTTTTTTTTTTGTTTTTTGTTTTTTTTTTTTGTTTTTATTCAGTTTTTAGAATTATTCAAACTATTTTTTATGTATTTTCTTTTGATTTTGCCCATGAAGTTATGAAAAACTAAGCATTATTCTTTACCTAAGTGTGGTGATTTTGGAAACAATTTCTATCTTGCAAAAGACACAATGGTACATCGCAAGTCATACATTTCCACTTTATTCTCCTTTGATCCTTTCTTATACTGCAATAAACACATCGTTTTGCGCTTTGAATAGAAACAGGCATATGAGCTGCTTGATTGCGTCTTTTCTCTAAAGAAACTTGTGGTTTCTGGTAACGAAAATCTTCCGAATGGTCATATTTGCGCTTTCGACCTTTGGCAGTTGGAATTTTGTGTCCTACCATTTGTTCTACTAAATTTAATCGAAATTTTTTCAAATTTAACGTTGGTTTTATATGTTTTTCTCTGTACAAAATATATGCATTACTTATTGTTAGATCGAGAAAATGCCAAAATATTCTAAACCACCACTTTTTAGATTTACGATCAATTTTATAAACTGAAATAAGTCGATCAGCATAATCTAAATAACCCATGTCCTTATTATAATCTGAAGAAACAACAGGACAATTGACACATTTTAGAGTGCCATCTTTTTATCTACGATTTATGGTAGTAACTTCAGATGCATCGTGAAAGTTGAATAGAAAATAAACTGGTTTCTTATCCATCCACTTGATCCAGGTAGGACCTGTCTTTGCAGTCATAAATTCATATTCTCCTATGTCCATTTTTTTTTTGGATTTTTTATCATTGATATTCGTTGGTAGACCAGAACGATTCTGCCGAACCGTGCCACATGCGTTTATTTTATCTTCTTTCAGTGATGAAAGATGTTCCACCCCAGTAAAAAAATTATCGAAATATACGTGATGATTGCCATCAACAAGTTCTCGTGTAAGGTCTTTCACAACTCTTGTTCCCAATTGTTTTTCAGTGTTGTCTGCTTTTCCAGTATAGATTTGAAACTGGCATACGTAACCAGACTCATCTGCGCGAGTCCAGCACTTATATCCGCGTTTTATAGGTTTAGCTGACATGTATTGTTTCATAATACTTCTTCCCTTGAATTTTATCAAGGACACATCTACAGATTGGTGCTTACCAAGATTGAAACTTTCTTTGAAGGTTCGAGAAAGCTCGTCTAAAAGTGGTCTTACCTTATACAGTTTATCGTAATTTGGATCACCTTTTTCTGGTTCTTTAGAGTTGTCGTTGACATGCATATGAGACAGAAAAAAACTAAAACGATTAACAGTCATGAGAGATGATATGTAAGAATCACGTAGCTGAGGGTTGGGTTTTCACTCCAATAATCACGGTAAGATGGCAATTTTTTTATACCCATCAGAATGTTAATGCCTAAAACTATTTTTAATTCTTCTTGCTTACTCTTTTTTGAGAAATGTACAGATTAGTTTGATGTACAATATGATCCAATAGATCAGAAGAAAATAAACAAGAGAATATGTCTAAAGGTGATTTCGCTGTATCTGGAATGTTTGGACCAAAGCTTTTAGAAAACATAAAATCCGATCTTGGCCGACTAACAGACTTCCAAATATCAGATTGATTTGAATCATCAATGTCTTCTGCGTCCATTGATTCTTCTTCGTCATCGTTATTATTTACAGTAGAAATATTTTCGTCTAAAAGTGATCTTGAGTTCACAACGTCTTCTTCGTTATCAGAATCTTGAAGCCCATCAACCGAATCAGAATCGCTAGGAATTTCGGTTGTAACAACATTTTTATTTTTCCCCATATTTATAACTTCTTGTAACTTTGAATACGTTCAATGTGCAAAAAGTAACTTTTATAAAAAAAATATAAGCTCATGAAGTCATGTAAAAATATAAAATTAGTATTAGTTTTGACCAATAGCATTTGCAATGAAAAGTCAGAATTTTTGAAAATATTTCAGGATTTTAAAAAAAAGTTATTATGTTTATTTCCAATTCATAATAAAAAAGAATTGTGATAAAAACAAAAAATTACTTCGAAATATATCACCTCATCTACGATTTCAACGATTTAGATGTAAACCTAAACTACATATAATTTTTATCTCGATTTTTATAAAGTGATAATACCGAAAATCAGAAAAATAAAAGCACACACACACACAACAAACAAACATCACAGAATCTAACTCAGCGTATATCCACCGAGAATAATAGATAGAAGAATGTCAAACATGAAGGACATGGACGACACAGAAACAGAAATAGAGGAATGGATAAGTAACCTAGATGACGATCGACTACATCAGACTCTGGTAACTTTGGAATTAAGAAGCGACGGTGAAAAAACAACCAGGGCAAAGAGACTCCAGCGTTGGTTAATGAGCGACTATACATCGGCTGACTTCGAGGAAACGACAGCCCAAGAAATCGCCCAAGACCCGATTCGAAGAAATAAATTGAGATACGCCTACATCTCCAAGGAATGCAAAACACTGGAAGACACAGGAGCAACCGATCGCGAAAACCACCCTCTATATAGGCTACTCACCGATGATGAGATTGCAATCAAGCTCAACCTATCAGTGAACCAATCCCTATCAAAAGGAGCAGAAAGGATCTCAAGAAGCGACGAGCACGAAGAAGACCAAGCTTCGATAGCGTCAGATACAGAGATGCCCACGCTATATAATGAAAAGGGCAACCCCGTTACAATCCCCGCAGAGATCAAGGAAGTAATGCACGAATGGATAAATCGACTGAAAAGAGTCGAAAAGGCTATGGAAAGAGAGCGCCAGTACGTGTTATCGATAGCACAGATGGCACAAACTATATGCGCTACCCAGGCCACGGAAACATCCAGGATGACCAGGGCTCTGCAAAGGATAGGTAATATAGAAAACGAGATTACTCCAGGAAAACCAACCATCGTCACCAAGCAAAGAAACAGAACAGCTACCCAGCAAAACAGTGAACTTTCAAGATACGGTGACACTGCACTATAACACCATGATCCCAGGAAGCACCCCACAGAGACCAACACCAACGGAACAACCACGGTGGAACCCCAGAATATCGGGAGACCCCCTAATACAGCCCTCGGGGGGGAGTGGACAGCAGAATACGGTGAATAATTCTGCTGAAGGTGGCTCTGCGAGACATACAGGCAGCTATGGGCAAAACACGACGATGGGCCTATCAACCACACGGGACGTGGGAAGGATCGTGAGAGGCTGGCGAGTGAAATTCGCTGGAGAAGACGACCAGAGTGTAGACGTCTTTCTGGAAAAGCTGGAAGCCCAAAGATTGGCAGCTGGTCTCTCAGAGGAAGAGATGCTCCTCGGGCTACCCGACGTACTTACCGGGGTAGCCCACACCTGATATCTAAATAACAACAAGGATTGGATAGACTACCAGGACTTTGTTTCGGATGCGAGAGAATGGTTCGGTACTAGCATCCAACAGCAGCAGAGACTCAAAAGAGAAGCTCAATCGAGATACCAGGGCGATAACGAGCCCGCTAAGGTCTACCTCATGAAACTACAGGCCATGGTGAGTAAGCTACATCCACCGATGCCACCGGCAGAGATACTCGAGCTAATGTACTCCAACCTACTTCCCGAGATAAAGATTCACGTGAAGAGAAGAGACGCAATATCCGTTAGGGAGCTATGCCGGTTGGCGACGGAGGCACAGAACGACATTACGTTCGCCCGACAAAAACGGACGTTGTTGGAACCCAAGGCCTCCCTCTTCCCTGAGTGGGCGTATCAACCCACGGGCGGAGAGGCAACAGCAAGCAACCGCCGGCCGAAGGTAGCGGGCATGTCGAGCGAGAAAGAGGATGAAGAGGGAAAGAAAGAACCAACAATACCGGAGATAGCGGGACTGATGGAGCACGCCTTCCCATCCGCAATGATACAGAGATTGGAGGGTCTAATCTCGAAAATAGTAAACCGGAGAAGTCAACGCCCGGTTCCACCTGCTGAGAAACCGAAAACTCCCGAGAAAAACGCAAGCCGAAAGATGAAACCAAAGGGGCCCCGACGAGAGATCGATTTCTCAAAACCACTTACGTGTATAAAGTGTGGCAGGTTGGGCTTCATCGTTAGGCACTGCCCCGACTGTAAGGAGAGCCCACAGTCGGGAAACGGGACGCGGGACGGTTAGAGGGGGTCCCTACCGTTCCAAAAATAGAGAGGATCCCTCACTCCGATAGTAAGTGGGATGCTGAAACCCCGCAGACGGACCAGACGGCTATCCCTGATGAGGCGGTGGCGAAAGTGTCAGGAGTGAGAGGTGAATATTCAACCGAGATCAGCACGCAGGAAACGAGTGAGGAGAGCGAATCCAAGGTGATAAATCGACCATCTGAGGGTATGGAGGTATCGAACTCCACAGACAAGGACTTCGACATCGCGAGAGCAGACCTAAAGGAGAACCCGGAGGAGGGGAAGGATGGCCAAGAGTCTTTGGGTGCTACGGAGGAAGGAATTTGCAAGGAGCAAGCCAACCAGTGCGCGCCCAGGGAGAAAGGACCACCCCCACCGGCTATAGGATCGGCCAAAGGCAACAGTCGAGATCGACCTAGGAGCAGAAAATACGAACCCGAAGATGAGACGAGATGGTATTTGCCCATCAAAATAGGGGGATTCCGGATCAGAGCATTATTCGATTCAGGAGCATCTTGCACTACGATGGGCAATTTAGGAGTGGAAATCGCTTCGCACTTGGGTTTGAGACTAGAGGTGAAAGATGCGGGTTCCTGTCGTTTGCCGGATGGTACGAAGGTATCCGTAACAGGTCACGTTCTCATGCTCATGACGGTAGGTGGAGTGACAAAGGTAATCCGGGTGGCAATCATCCCAAGGTTAGCGGACGAGTGTTACACTGGAGTCAACTTTATCAAAGCGTTCAAAGCCGTGATAGACTCGGAAGATAACGAACTTTTCCTCAAAGACAAGAAAGTCAGGATACGCATGGAGATGGCGAGCATCGAAGGACTGGCTCAACTAGCATCGGTGGGCATCGCGGAAGTAACGGATGCCCAACGAGAAGAGATTAGCCAGATGGTCTCTAAGATCTTGCCAAAACCAGGGAAATTCCTAGGTTGTGTTGTCGGGGTAGAGCACGAGATCAACGTCGGAAGCGCTCGACCGATTAAGCAGAGGTATTATCCGGTTTCGCCGAAGGTCGAACAGGAAATGCACCGGCTGGTCAACGAGATGCTGAAGGCGGGGGTCATCGAGCCATCCAAGAGTGGATGGTCAAGCCCCGTGGTGATGGTCAAAAAGGGGGACGGAACCTGGAGGTTCTGCGTAGATTTAAGGGAGGTGAACGCGGTCACGGAACCAGACGCGTACCCCATTCTCTTCATGCAAGATATTTTACGCAGACTAAGGGATGCCAAATTCATATCGACCCTCGACCTCAATTCGGCCTACCACCAAATTAACCTGAAAAAGGAATCCTGTCCAGTGACGGCATTCACAGTACCAGGTATGGGTCACTTCCAGTTTGTGAGGATGCCCTTCGGCCTCTCATATGCCGGTGCGACCTTTCAGCGGGCCATAGACTCAGTAATCGGCCCTAACATGGACCCTTTCGCCATCGCGTATCTCGATGACATAATTATTGTCTCATCGACATTCGAAGAGCACAAGGAGCACTTGCGAAAGGTATTAGAGGCGCTCAAGGAAGCCGGCATGTCCGTAAGCTTGGACAAAAGTGCCTTCTGCAAATCGGAGGTACGATACTTGGGCGTGCTAGTGAATCGAGACGGAATACGACCCGATCCCGAAAAGGTACGCCCAATCCTAGAGTTTCCTGTCCCCAAGAACGTGAGGAAACTCCGTAGCTTCATGGGTATGGCCTCATGGTATAGGAAATTCGTAGACGATTTCGCCACAATCGCAGAACCCCTCAACAGGCTCCTGAGAAAGAAGTGTCCATTTGAGTGGGGTCCCGAGCAACAAGTGTCATTTGATCTGGTTAAAAGATTAATGACGACGGCGCCGATCCTCCAACCGCCCGACCCGAAGGGAGACTTCGTACTGCACACCGATGCGAGCGATACAGGCTTGGGGGTGGTTCTGACGCAGATAGTGGACGGAAATGAAAGAGTCATCGAATTTGCCAGTCGCACGTTGAGCCAGCCAGAGAGGAATTTCTCGGTCTCTGAACGCGAATGTCTCGGAGTCGTATGGGCCATCGAGAAGTTTCGGCCATACATAGAAGGTTATCACTTCAAAGTGATAACCGACCATAGTTGTCTCAAGTGGCTGAGGAGCATGAAGAATCCGACAAGCCGCTTGGCTCGGTGAGCGCTTAAGCTACAGGGATACACCTTTGAGGTAGAACATCGTAAAGGCGCCCTGCATCACGTGCCCGACTGCCTCTCGAGAGCTTATGAAGAAGATGGCGAGGAAGATTCGACCCTGGGCGCCATGACCTGGAGTGAGTGTACCCAGGATAAGTGGTTCTTGGAAACGTTGCAGGCAGTGACGGATGAGCCGGAGAAGAACCCGACATGGAAAATCATGGGGGGGAAACTTATATGCGTACCGCCCAGACACGTAGTTCGGAGAGCTGGGCGATGAGGAAGAAGCATGGAAACTAGCGGTGCCCAGGGAACAAAGGAAATCGATCATGACTGAGTGCCACGATGCCCCGACGGCCGATCACCTTGGGCGGGAAAAGACTCTCGCCCGAATACGCCGCTTCTACTACTGGCCAACTCTCGTAGACGACGCTGCCCAGTACGTGAAGAGCTGTACAATATGCCAACAGTGTAAGGTGGAGC